TAGGCACTAGTCTTGTTTTCTTGACTAGTCTAGGCTTCTAGGATTACAGGCCCCGGACCTTGGCTGCTGGAAATCAAATCATCAATCCTGTACTCAGTTCAAATGCATATCTAACTGTTCAAATTTAGAACTTGCAACTTGAGTCATGTCAGTTTTTCAATAAATTCTGAGCCAGAAAAGGAGCGCAAAATCTCTAATTCTCAAACATACTGAGAATTTGGTGGATTTGTTTTACATGTAAGGAATATCCCGTCCTTGTCCCACACATTTCCTTTTTCTTTTACTGGAAATTCAAGAACGTATGTGGGCTGAATTTCTAGAGCTCCGAATTTTATTTGGGAACCCTGTCACAATGTGTTATACTAGCACAAAAAACCAAATCAACTTGCTGGAAACACTCACTGCCTCCAGAACTTCGAACCCGGAGCCAGATGCACCACGCTTCTCACTCGGCGGCAGAGCTCGGGCCTTGCTTGTCCCGCTTCGGCGGTGGGAGAAACAGACCCTAACCGAGTGTGAAGACATACGAACACTATGAGAATTTAGCTTTGCAGGAAAAGTCTTTCCCACACATGTGTGTTTCAGGTATTTGTCACAGTTAAGTTTTCGTTTTAAGATTTGGTTATGGGAATTGCAACTTTTTACCTTTCAGAAATGTTCCAGCTGGGCCTGACAGGAACAGGTTTTGGCCTGTCCGGACATCCCGACATTTCGACGTGTTTGCAGACAGGCCATTTCTGTGGAGTAACTGCTCTCTTGCTATTTTTTCATAGCTTCTTTTCAACCTAGTTGTTGTAAATCAACCTTCTTTTTGTATGCAATCCTCTTTTTATGCCTTACAGATTTATGGTATTAGGAATCTGAGCATTTCCAGGGAAAATAAAAATAAACACCAAACCTTTTAAGCTATATTTAATAAGCTTCTCGTGAAAGTGTAGCGGGCCAACAAAATAAAATAAAAATAAAAAGCAATAAATAGTCAGTGTTCCATTTCTAAATGATAGTTTAGGAGGCAGAGAGTTTGTTCTGGCTAGAGAAGATACCTGATCCCTAGAGGAGGCTGGGAGGCACATTACCTCTCCTAGCTTTCTGTTTTCTTGGCAAACATCTTCTTCTTGTTTTCTTTTTGTAAAATTTTCCCTTATGTGTGTACGTGTGTATGTGGTGTGGTGTTTGTGTGTGTACACGTGTATGCAGGTGCACGTGCCCGTACCCTGTGGGTTGTATTTGTGTGTGTATACATATGTATACAAGTGCACGTGCCCGTACCCTGTGGGTCGGCCAAAGGAGGACATCCAGGGTCCTCTGTTTTTTTTCCCACTTATGCCCCTGAGACAGGGCTTCTCACTGATCCTGGAACTTGGCATTTTTTGGTTAGGCTGGTAGCTGGCAGGTCCCAGCGGTCTGCAGCTCTGAGGCTACAGGCACATGTGGCCATGTCTGGTTCCCAGGGGTACTGGAGATCTAAACTCATGTCCTCATGCTTGTGGAGTGAGTGTTCTTAGGCACGGAGCCAGCTCCCCAACCCCTTTTCAAGCAACTGAAGCATAAAAACAAAACAACAGAAAAACCTAATAATGTTCATATTGTTAGGTATTCAACATGAACCAATTGGGTATGAAATTTAAAGTTTAAATAAAAATGTTACCTATAAACATATATGCTGTTTATTTATAACTTAATTGTGAGTTTTGACTCATAATGCAATGACAGTTTCAAAATTTTTATTTTGAATTAAAAATAATGTGGCTGACAGTAAAGATGAAGAGCCATATGTGAAGATGGTTTAAAATATTAAGGGAGAGCCCGAAGTGATGCTCAGACTAACTGCACAAGGTCACCTTTTCCTGATGTTATGGACCCACTATCCCAGTATTCTTTCATGAGTATTCTCTGAGCACCAGCAAAGCAAAATGAAATATGACAAAATAAAGTAAAATACGTTTTGTTTTTCATAGTTATAATTCCAGTGATTTAGTGCCCCACCAGAAGAAAGAGTATTTTGAGATCAAAGTTTCCGAATTCTAGTTCCAATTCCACAGTTTAAGCTATGAGAACTCACGTGTATGAATGTTAAATCTTTTGTAGCTTTGGGTCCTCAATTAGATGCAGCGATACTCAGCATGACTTTTGAAAGTTATTGACCTCACATGAGTTAATTTAGTTCACTGCTGGATAGGGGCATCTAGTCCTCTTTCATTGCTGGGTGGGATATGATTTATACAGTTTCCTTGTCCAGACAGTGAGAAAACCATTATCCACATATGCAGCTGCTAAGGAAATAAAGCGACTCACTTATGAGAGAGTATTTTGTGAATTCTTAAAGAGCTTTTGAGCTTTGTTATTCCTTGAGAGAGTTTTCTTTTATTCTTTAACTTAACAAACATTATTTATGCTTAATAAATCACAGGAGACAATGTCTGGTTCTGAAAACTCAAAGCTATTCAATGGATTTTTTTTCCAAGTTTGCTCTGATGGGAATATTGCTTCTTCCACTAGGTAGCTGCCTGGGTTCTCTCTTGCCCATCAAAGCTGGGGGAGAGGGCGTTTGTGCTGGAAAATGCTGTTTCATTTGTGAGCGTCATCACTGAGTCCTACTGCAATAACTGACAAAAGCAAGAAGAAGCAGGGTTAGTGGAAGGTGGTTCTGGCCTGGCTCACCTAGGTGTGCAGAGTTCCTCCCTCCCTTTCCTGTTCTGTATTTCTGCTATTTTCTCTGGTGGGGGAAATTTGCCTTCTTACACCTATATTCTCCATAATGATGATGCCCTCCTTCCACTCCTAACACAATGCTCTCTCTCATTTGCATTCCTCTAGTAGCTTTTCCTTAATGAGGTCCTTAGAACCCTTATACTAGTCTCTCTTTACCAAACTATCAAATCCCTGGGGTAGAGGAGCGGTCCACTGATTTTCAAGTCTCCTATGGTATATGCCTCAGTGCATAAATCTTAGCTACCTCACTTCCAAATTAACTGACCTCAAGGAAGTTATTGAACCTGTCTTTGTGTCACACTTCGCTTATTTGGAGAGCAGATCTAACAACAGGACCTACATCACAGGGCATTTGTGACATCTAAGTGAAATAACACATGTAAAGCTCTTAGGATATGTGGGACCATGAAGAGTCCTCGGCATATGCTGGCCATCGATGTCCTAAATACTGACAACTGAAACTCAAGTTTCTAGATCAGGTAGGAGTTGGGCGCTCTGGAATTTACTGAGGGGGTCAGCTTGATGGGAAGGAGAAGGTGAGCAATGAGACGAAGGCTCAGAGGATATCAAGGACAAAGGTGACAGTGTTGAGGACAGGAGGAGGCAGAAAAGCAGATATCTCAGGTTCCTGAGGAGATGGAGTAGGAACAGGAGGGCCAGAGGGCAGGGGGCATTTAATAAGTAAGCTGATTTGTTTCCGCCTGTAGGAAGTTGAGTCACTACTTGGTGAGAGAACCCAGCCACTAGGTGGCAGTGGAGCCTTGGTCACCTGTTCTGATCCAGCTGTGGGCAATGAATCTGCCCCCTTGTTTACCACAAAGTTAAGTGTTAAGGCAGCCAAATTCAGTATTAAACAGTAACACTGGGTCATTTTCCATGCAGAGTTTTGAAAAAAAGCAACACTAGGTACCAACAGGTATTTTCCTCTATGTGTCATAGCAATTTTCAATTATACATACTCACAATTAGGGAATTGCAGACTTTGTTTAAAATGATCCTTTTACCCTTAAGACAGAGAGTCATAGTCCCATAGTGCCCTTTATCGCTGCCCAGCCTTCAGCCTGGATGTACTGAAATTTAAACGGGAGTCATGAGATTTAGGTGAATCTTTCCCCCCAAATGTTTCCTTTTTAGATGAGGGTTGGGTGGACTCTGGTTCAAGAGTGGTAACACTTGGACACACTCTGCATGTATTTGTGCGGTTCATACTCACAGATGAAAAGATTGCCGCATTGACCAGCTTCTGTGGTGGCCTCCTTCGGAGCTGAGAAGCCTCAGTTCAGGACTGTCACTGAGGCCCCACCCCAGCTCTGTTTTATCCCAATTTACATAAAACTACACCCCGCTTGCCCCTCACCCCATTTTTGAGCTGGCAATGTAAATAATGCTCTAGACAATTAAATGAGTAGATTGACTCAGAATTTAACATATAAGTCTTGAAGCTGAAGGGATTGTAATATTTTATAGATTTTATAGATTTGGATTATTAACCAGATATTTGGACACAGGCAGAAAGTTTTTACGTTGAAGCTTCATAATAAGTTGCTGGAATGTAAGTCAGTTCATTTTAGACACTGAATCTTTCAGAATTTCAATCATTTTAAAATAAAATTTGAAATTTCAAATAAAAAAGTTTTTAAGTTACCAGAATTCCAAAGCTGAACTGTGGTAAGTAGTTTCTAAAGCTGAAATGGACGGTGGAATAAAACTGTCTTTTTAAAGTGCAAGCTGTTGTATCTGAAATTCTGTCTTTCACTGCATTTTCTGTTTTGTCATTTTGACTTTTGCGTAGGCCCCACTGTTTTTCTCACAGTTTGTGCTTTCTTTCCGTTTTCTAATCATCTGTCCTTTTTTGCTTCCTCACTGCTCTGCTTGCTTTTTGCTCTTTGAGCTCCTCCTGCTCTGTCTTCTCTCTTCCTTTCCTCTGCCTCTTCTCTGTGCTTAACTGGTAATATACTAGGTAATTAAAATATGCGTATAAGGATTTTCAATGACTGTTTATTGGAAAGAGATTTCTATTTGCCATTAGAAATTGTTAAATCAAGAACATAGAATTTATGCCCAACTTTCATAAAAGGTAAAGCAAATAGCTATTCATTTACATGCTGTCCAGAGTTTTTGCTACTATTGTGATGGTCCAGGGCAGGGAAGCCGGGGCAGGAAGGAGAGAGGGTGTGGCTCACTCCTCGCTGTTACTGAGGCTCTGCACTTGGCCAGCATGCGGGCAGGGCATGCAGCAGAAGAGATCTCAGTAACCTTAGAATTCCTCTGCATGGTTTCTTAAATAGGCCGACTTGCTTCTTCTGTCGAGCAGTGAGCCACATGGTCTGTGTTACATTGAAACTGCTGAGCTTGATGGGTAAGTTGTTAAATCAGAGTAACTGACTAGATTGCTTTGTAATTTAAAAGTAATGACTTTAGAAAGAAGACTTAAATCTTATTCTTTGTTTTTTTGTAAAACATAGACATCTAAATTGTAAAGTCCATTGTTAATTGCTTTGCAGCAATTTCGAAATCTACTTTTCTCTTGAACTTACTTTCTTTCAGAAACAATATGCTAAACATGCACATGACTGATTTTATGCAGGGACTCTCTAGCAATGTTCTTCAGGAGTTTTTTTCTGTTATGATTTTTAAAATGAGAGAGTGGAGATCAAGCTTCTCTGAGGAAGGATAGACTGACTTAGCTTTAAAAGGCAAATTTTGGAGCTCTCTTCAATGAAGACACAGGGAAAGATGGATAATGATGCAGTTTTGACACTGCAGTTAATTTAGAATTTAGTTATAGACCATTTACTTCTGTTTTAGAGTATTCGATTTGTCTGGCTAACCCCATTTATTGACTGGTTACACTGTAAAGATGTTACCAGCATGTATGTTCCCCAGTTTATTTTATTACATAATCTTATGTAGGTACTGCATAAGACTTATTGCAAAACCATAAAGTCAAGGCTTAGAGCAGCTAGGTAATTTGCCCAAAGCTTCTAAAGTGTGATAGTATAACTCAGACTTGACAATGTGAAATACATGGCTTTAACCAGTGCCTCTTAGGTCATTGCCATATCGAGCTCTTCAAGTAGTTTAACCTGTGTAATCCAGGTTTGGGCAGAATACTTTCAGACACAGCTAAAGCAGTGTTTAAAGGAATATTTATAGCACTAAATGCATCTACTTGAAAAGAGAAAAAGCCTCAAATCAATAGTCTAAACTCCTATCTCAAGAACCTAGAAAATAACAAAATAAACCCAATGCAAGCAAAAGGAAAGAAAAGAATGAATAAAGAACAGAAGTCAATGAACTTGAAAAGATGGAATAAAATGAAGCATTGAGACAGAGTTCTCTGGGAACATCAGTTCAATGAACAACGCTCTAACAAGGCTGAGGAGGAAATGAGAAGAGACAAACCAGGATTATGAACATTAATGGACAGGAGGATTCACAGCATATCCTGAAAATGCCAGCCGGCTAATGAAGAGATACTACAGACAGCTGTGCACATATACATTTGACAACGAGCCTGAATGGATCACTGCTTCAAAAAACAGACCGTACCACTCACTGTAAAACAGTTTGAATAGCCTTATAACTGTTAAGGAAACTGAATTCAAATTTAAGGAATAAAACTACAAAATTTTAGGTGAAAATGTGGAGAAAGTCTTTGAGATTATGGCTAGTCAAAGAATTGTTAGGTTTGATATAAGGGCATTATTAGAGAGGTTGGGGGCTTCACTTGGTGGTAGAATACTTGCGGTGCAAGGGCCTGGGTTCCGTTTTCTAGCATGAGAGAGAGAGAGGAGAAATTACTTTTTTTGATTTGTAAAATCCCCTACAAAGAAGAAGTAGTAATGAGATACTCACATGGAGAAACTATTGGCAAAGCATCTATTTGACAAAGAACTTGTATCTTGACTATATAAATATACTTTCAAAACTCCGTAGTTAAAAAATATGCATCCCTAATTAGAAAATAGGCAAATGACACGATCGACATTTGACCAAAGAAGACACACAGGTGGCAATCAAGGACATGAAAAGTTATCCAACATCATTAGTAAAATTAAAATTTGCACCACAGTGCTCTATTACTATAGATCTGTCAGAATGGCTAACATAAGAAACAGTGACAACTCTAAATGCTGGAAGGGGTTCAGAGGAGCAGAACCATTCCCATGTTGCTGTGTGGGAATGTAAAATGCTATATTCACTCTGGAAAACAACTTGGCAATCTCTTAAAAACGAAACATACAATTATCATACAATTCAGCAATTCTACCCTGGGGCTTTTATCCAGAGAAATGAAGACTTATATTTGTATACGATCTATAATGAATATTTAGGGTAGATGTATTTGTAATATCAAAAAAGGAAACAACTTAGATATCTTTCAAGTGAATGATTGAGCAAACTGGCACATCTGTGTCGTGGACTACCACTCAGCAACCAAAAGAAACAACCTATGAATATACATAACAGCTGGTCGACTCTTCAGAGAATTAGGGCTAAGTAAAAGATGCCAATCCCAAAGGTCCCATGATTTCATGAACAACTTAGGGGTTGCTTAAGGAGGAGGGAGGGAGGACTTCTGAGGAAACTGACATAACAAGCCCTTTAACACAAAAGAAGAGTGATAGCCATGGTCACTGATGGTACAATACCAACAGATGTGTGGTATTGCTTTTAAGACCAGCTCTCTATGACCTGCCCAGCTTGTTGGCTGTGCTATTCTAGAGCCAATGGTTTCTTGGATTGATATTCAAAGAAAAAAGGAAGCTTTATTCTTTTTCCCATTTAAATTTCAGCTACTGTAAAATTAGCCACAACTGTATTTTGCAAACAAAACTCCTACATAGATAGTAGATTCTAGAGCTATACTAGCCTCCTCTTATTGGCAACAGTGTTCCTGTTTCTAAGGTGTTTTATAACTCATGCATGATATGTGAGTAGGTTAGAATGAGACCACATTTCTTAGGTTCTGTGTTATTTCAAACACAAATGCAAACCAGATCGCTGTGTTGTTATACAGATGTGCTATGGGTAGAATGCCAGCTCTTAGGATTCTGAGAAGCTCCACTCACTTCCCGAGGTTGTGTGGAGCCTGTGAATGACTCTCAAAGCCCCTCTTGGGTTGTTTAGCATGTGCTGCTCCTAGAAAGTTGCTTTAGAAAAGATGCTGTTGTGTTTGTTGTTCCTTACAAAAAGTCACGTATTGTCATTAATTTCACAGGGAAACCAACCTGAAAGTTCGTCAGGCGCTATCAGTTACCTCAGAACTTGGAGCAGATATTAGCAGACTTGCAAGATTTGATGGTAAGTGCTTTAAATGGACAAACAGAGATCTCAAAGCCAAAAGACAGTGTAACAAGCTTGCTGTCCAAAATCCCAGATGGAAAACAGACATTAATGACAGACATTTAGGCACCGTGATTGGGAGACTTGGGGCTTTCCTGCCGCCCCTCAATGGTGTCTTGCTTTACCTATTTGCGAGTTTGGCCTTGAATATCATTACTTCTGTATAGATTGGTTTATTTACTTTAGAGTCTTAAGAGTTTGAGACTATGCTTTCAAAATGTTTTCTTTGGAGTCCTCTGAAAGGTAGTTAAAGGGTCTTGTCAACATGCCCAGGCAGCTTTATGTTGTGAAGTTTCTCCCACACACATTTCAGAACTTATATTGCCTGTGCTTTGCATCTGCTTATAAATTCTGACAGGATTCTGTTAATATTTTGTCTCCCTTAATGAGTGCTGGTGTAATAAATGTTTATAGAAAAATATTCTTTCAAATTAAGATTTAATTTCAAGGACTAGCCAGGAAACTTTGAATGGCCCAAGAAATATTTTGATTAGATTAAAACGAATCACAATTTTTCTAAGTAAATTTTTTCAATGAAATGTTACTGTTACGTGAATCCAAGAAAAGTAAATTGTATTCATGAATCAAAATACTTGCTTAAAATACTTCATTGACTATTTATGGAATTCTGAAAGGGCAACCTAAATATAATTTGCCATTACCCATTTCTTCCCTGGCAGAACTGTACCTTTATATCTCTATCCGTCTATATGCAGTAAAAAATTTATGAGTTTTAGTCTTCATAACTATTAAAAAGCAGGAAATGATTGTTATAATTATTAGCTTCCTTTACATAGACTCTGGCACAGGGAGCCTAGACTATAATGTAGTTATAAGCAGTTCTGAAATCTTAGTGGCATGGATGTGATAAAAGTTTATTCCTTGCTCTGTCAGATTCTGATGGGTAGCTGCCTCCATTTTGTAGTCATGGTATTTAGAGTAATGATCAAGGTGAGAAGAAAGAGACAACACTTTTTACTGCACGCAACACTGGGAAGTAACAAATGTGGTTATTTGTTGAGCTGTGCCTGTCACTCCTGCCTCCCGACCATACCTGCCATCTCAGGACCTGTACAGAGATATTGCCAGCTCCTCAGGTAAAAAACCACAGCTCTACAACTCTCTGGCACACCAGCAACCAGTGTCAGTGTCTCAGGACACAAGTAGACTACCCACCCGCTCCTCAGGTGAGAGGCTGCACCTCTACAACCTTCTGGCACCACATTCTCCAGTGTCTCAGGACCTGCACAGAGCCCCTGCTGACTCCTTAGGTCAGAGGCTGTACTTCTCTGCCTGTTGCTGTCTGTTATACCCTCTTCACCCCACTGTCTTCAGGACCTGCATAAAGTGTCAACTGCTCCTCAGATCAGAAGCTACACCCCTGGCATCCAGGGAACCCCCCACTCTGCTAACTGGAGCAAGTGCCTTCTGGTGAGATCAGAGGCCACATCTTCCTTTAGTCTAGCTAGGATCACCTCAGCTTCCTCCCACACAAATGAGAACTGGATGACCCTAATTGAACTTCAAGAACCACCTAGTTGATCCAAAACCAGCCAAGCCCAGGTAATAGCAAACAGAGACCCAAACACCCACTAAATACCAGTGGGCTAGAAACTCACACCCAAAGTCACAACCGACACAAAGGATATGTAAGTCCCAACACAAAAATGCAAGAAATACAAAAAACCAAGACGAGTTTTGGGAGATGACTCAGTGGATAAACTGCATTCTTCACAAACAGAACTGGAGTTCAGAACCCCAGAACCCACATAAAATCCAGATGTTGCGGTGGCCCACCTCAGCATGTGGGAGGCAGAGACAGGGAATCCTGGGAGCATGTTTGCTAGCTAGGCTGGCTCAAATGCCGAGCTCCAAGTTCAACAGGAGACCCTGCCTCAGTATATAAGGTGGAAAATGACTGAGAAAAACATCAGACATCAACCTTGGGCCTCTGCATGCATGCACACAAATATGCACCTGCAAATACACATGTACCCAGGCACATGAACATGTATATGTTCATGTACAACACACACATATGGTTCCAAATAAAAGCTCGGCCAAAACTTGAGAAAAAGAATGGAAAAGGGCTACAGAGATGACTGGTTTTAAAAAAATATCCTATTTATCATTTTTTATTTTATTTTATGCGTATGAGTATATTGCCTGCATGTGTGTAAGGGCACCCATGTCATGCAATACCCATGGAGGTCAGAAGGTGGCATCAGATCCCCTAGAACTGGAGTTACAGATGGTTGTTAGCTGCAGTGTGAGTGCTGGGAATTGAACTTGGGTCCTCTGCAAGAGTATCTACTGCTGCTCTTCCAGAGGACCTGAGTTCAGTTATTAACACCCACATCAGGGTGTTCACAGTTGCCTGTAACCCCAGCTCCAGGGCAAACCCATATCTCTGTACTTCTTAGGCACCTGCACTCATGTGCATGCCCCCCATTCATATAATTAAAAATATAATAAATCTTTTTCTTGGTCTTTTTGAGACAGGGTCTCCTTGTAGCCCCAGGTGACCTGGAACTTGCTATGTAGACCAGATTGACCTTGATCTCACAGAGACCTGCCTGCTTCTGCCTATTGAGTTTTGGGATTAAAGGCATGCACCATCACACCTGGGTAAAATAAATCATTTAAAAAATTGAAAAGAACAGCTAAAAACATCTTCAAAGAATTCAAGGAAGGCATGAATAAGCTCTTGCATGAATTTAAAAAAGACAGAAATAAACTACTGTATGAATTCCAAGAGAAAACAAACAGCTGAATGAAACAAGTCAGTTCAGAATGTGGAAGTAGAATTTAGTCAAGAAATAGAATTGCTGAAGAAAATCCAAACTGAAATGAAGCTGGAAATGAAAGCTTAAATGAGTGGGCCTGGAGAGATGGCTCAGTGGTTAAGAGCACTGGCTGCTCTTACAGAGGACCTGGCTTTGGTTCCCAGCATCCACATGGCAGCTAACAACTGCCTGTAACTCCAGTTCCAGGGGATTCAATGCCCTCTTCTGGTCTTTTTGGGCATTTCATGACATGGGTGCACTTACATGCAGACAATATACTCATACACATAAAATAACAATGATAAAATATCTTAAAAATTCAATAAGTGAAAGAGTTCAGTGTAAAGCCTCACCAATATAACAGATCATGTGGAGGACAGAATATTCAATCTTGAAGATGAGGGAGAGAAACTGAATTATTCAATCAAAATATAACATTGCTTTTTTTTTTTGAGACAGGGTCTCCCTCTAGCCCCCAGCTGGCCTGGACCTCACTACGAGGACCAGGTTGGCCTCCAACTCACAGAGTTCAGCCTGCCTCTGCCTCTGCCGCTCTAGTACTGGGATTAAAGGCACGAACCACCACGCCTGGAGAAAATGATAGATTTAAAAAAATACACTAATGGAATATGTAAGATCTTTGGGATGCCATGAAAAGACCAAATCTACAAATTATGATCACAGAAGCATCGTCCCTCTGCCTAGTGTTCACAGTGCTGGCAGGTGCTGTGCAGCCTGTCAGGGAGAAAATCATTAATGATCTTACTTAGCTATATACAATGTGTGCTAAAATAATGACCTGCTGAGCGACATATGCCCCCTGGTTTGAGACTATTCTTGGGGGGAATCACTACTTTTTGATTGAATTTGAGATCTACCTCGTGGGAAGGAATACATGCTTGGTCCTCCAAACCTGGCCAAAAGCCTGTGGCTAGGGAGGTTGCAGGCTCTAGGGGGAATCTACTACTGCTGTTTGGCTAAATCAGACATGCATTTAAATTGCCTTCTGAATATTTATGTTTGTACGCATAGACTAGTACAACTCTCAGCCTCTTTTGGCAGTTGGTGACAGTCAAAGCTGAGACTCATAACTGATCAAAGTGCTGAGAAAAAGTGACTGTTCAGTGCTTAGCCCTAAACAGGACATCTGTGGCATCACCTCCCCAGGCCCAGAGAACACTGCAGAAGAGGGGGTAGAGAGACTGTGAGAGCCAGAGAGACTGTGAAGGGGTGCTGTGAAACACTGTCTTCTGGATCTGGCATGACAGTGCACACACACACACACACACACACACACACACACACACACACACCACGAAGTGGGAGAGGGACTAGTGTGGAGAAGGAGGTCAGTAGGAGTGGTGTGGGCAAGGGAGGACAATTAGGTGTGAATATAATCACAAAATCTTATATACAAGTGTGAAATGATAAAAATTAATATGAAAAGGGGCTGGAGAGATGACTCAGCAGTTAAGAGCACTGACTGCTCTTGCAGAGGTCCCGGGTTCGATTCCCAGCACTCACACGGCGGCTACGAACCATACTTAACTCCAGTTCCAGGGGAATCCGAAGCTCTCTTCTGACCTCCGTGGCATTGCACGACACGGGTGCATTCACATACATGTAGACAATACACACATACACATAAAATAAAAATAATAAAACATTAAAAAAATTAATATGAAAAAGAAATCAATAAATTTCAGGTTTTCCTCTAGTGACTAGAAAGACTTCATATATCATGGGGATCAAAACCCAATGCATTCCATATTTCAGCTTAAATTAAAAGTATGATGTTGGCACTGTACGTCTTTGGAAATGCCCTGGCTGGCTTTGGGAAGGTGCAACAGACAAGACCCAGGTGTGAGGCAGGTCCTGGCTGATGCTTGGCCTGTGGTTAGTATATGTTTTAGCTTGTGAATTCTGGCCACATCTGGGTGCCACATTATCTTTTATTTCTGCTTACTCTGTGGTTCTTCTTCTAAGAGTTCCAAAATACCTTAGCATCAATCCAGAGTTTTCTGGCCTTGCGTCATAAGTGCACATCTTCTAAAATATCAAAAAATTCTAAATTTCCCACCACTCGTGTTCCTAAAGAATTCTCAACCGAGGGCAACAGGTCTAGAACTTCAAATTGACCTGGTATCAAAGCTGAGTTGTGCTGGGCTTCAG